TTAGAGTTAATTTTGGTAAGTCAACTCAAATGCATCGGACAAGGACTTAAAGAGGTTTTTCCCTCATAGATTGGACCTTAGGAAGGTTTTCCAGAATCCAGACCTTGTTGACCCTAGAATAGGTTGACTAACCCTTGACACCCATTGGAATATGTTAGGAAGGGTTTTTATCATTTTTTGAAGATAAATAAAAAAAAAATATTGAATAGGAGATTCCAAAGTTGTGGGTTGGCTAACAAATCAAGGTTCAGTTATTTGGTGCTATAGGGACCTTCTGAGGAAAGTAAATTGGTTTTCAAGGAACATGACTTTTACTTCTCAGCGGATGGGTTAGCTAAGCAAGGGGCCTCAAGGGAACATTTATTTTGGGCAGCTCTGTAAATTTTCGTTTTCTAGTCTGATGTAATACAATGTTGTTTAGGAGAGGTACCAGCTCATGCCTCTCCTTGGGCAGCCTGTATTGTCTTATCATATTGATCTTTCTTGAATAAAATCTTACTCATTTATCAAAAAAAAAAAAAAAATTATTGAATAGGAGAGAAGATTACAAAGAAAGGTGGTAAGAAATCACCCGCTCCCAAAAGAAAGCCTAAAACATAATCCATCTAACCCGTTCACCACACCATAGCTTACATAAAGGAAAGCAAGAAAAAAAACCACCACATAACCTAAAACTTTTACCACTCAACCCAAATAAACCACATCCTGTTATAACTAGCCCTTCAATCCTCATGAGAGAAGAATATCATATCCCTTTACCTGTCTGCTCCAAATACTGGGACCAAGATCTCTTTACCTTTTTTAATGATCCCCTTTGTTTCTTCATCTTCTTGACAGGACCCATCCCAAACAAGCCCCCTTTTAACCATGCAAAAACTCTTGAAACCGGAACTGTTCTCTGCCTTTACTGACGTCTGAACCTCCTTACTGCATTAGGTATCACATCCACTTCTTGCTTCTCCCTTGTCTCAGCATTTATCCTTTCTAATTCCAGAACAACATTCTTTTTAAAGATCCGTCTGCCATCCAATCACTCTATTGCTCTGTGTCCGCACGGGAGGCCAGCTTGCTGCCATTTTTACTGTAGCGGAACTGTTCCAGGAGGAGTTTTACTTCAGGTCCAGATCTGAAATGCCTAAAAATCCAACTGGTATTGTTGTTTTCAGCTTGGTATTTCTTATGCTTATTGTTGTATACTTGAAGTGTTGCATGTAATTTGTTTTCTGTCCACATCAATTTGTTTTAACAGTCATTTTAAAATTGTTTAAAAACACATTTAATGCCTGGATTTTTGCTCCAACAATCATCTAAGGTCCTCCCTATAAATGCCCCCAAGTGAACCGAATTAGAAATTGATTTTTGAACTTTAAACTTTCAAATCAAATAAAGAAAGAAAAACAAGAGGGAAATTTTTGAAACAAAGTTTTTGAGAGCTTGAACCAAAATATTTTTGAAATCTTTTGAAGCTCCTTAACCCCAAGCTAGAATCAATTGAAAGGGAGAGTTTTCAATGGAAAAGTCCATCTGATTTTGGAAAAGGGAAATATAAGAGAGAAACTTAGGAGAAAACAAAATCTGAATTTGTGTCAAAATCGTTGAATCTGTTTCAAATCCCCTAAAGCCCATGTTCATACACCTGCTGCTGAATAGGTTTGAGTTGCATTTGCATATTCTTCCAACGGGGTTTTGTTTGTGCTTTATTATAAAAGTTTCTTGAAAGATTTATAAGGTTTGTGAGAACAAGAAGGCTTCATGAGTGAGCTGGCGCTGTGTCAACCAGTGGTGGTTCAAACTGTTTCTGTGATTGAAACAGTGGTGTAGCTGACACTATCAAACAGCTGAGTGTGTGCAACAGTGAGCTGCTCTTGTGGTGTGACCAGCACCATCAAAACTGGTTGGGATTGTAAATGGTGTGACCAGGACCTTCTCAATTGGTTGGTGTACTATTCTGGTGAACAGTAGGTTTATAATTCTCAAGGGGGTTTCATTTGCTCTTAGTTACATTTATTCACTCCAGCATACGCTTACATTTTAGCATGATTAAGCACTTGCAGTGAATTATTAAATGTGGATTTGAATGTGTATCCCGAACTTGAGTTGACCAATCTGTTACTCTATGCACAGGCACCATAACCATAGTCATTGTACCTGAAATCAATTAACATTATTGACTTCATTTATTGATATATTTATTATTCTGCGCTTATCACATAATTGCTTTATTTATTGCACAACAAGGGATTTTAGATTAATAGAAAATCAGTTGGGGGAAAGCACCAAAAATATAAGCAACCCAATTCCCCCCCCCCCCTCTTGGGTTACACATATGAGCAATGCTTCTTTGGTTATGACCACAACTACATTTGCATGCAATTGGTCTGACCAGCCTTGTTAATCCCAGCAACTGAACCATTTTCAAACACTTGGAGTCATCCTCCTCTCCAGAACCTACCCTTTCAAGCTTCCCTTCCTCCCCTTTGATTCCCATTCCCAAAAACTTCACTATGGTCATCATCCAGTGAACTTGTATAGCATTTAACTATTTCCTTCTTTGATAAACCCACCCTTCAAAGAACAGACATACTGTCTCTCATTGATAGACTCAAAATGCTGCTCCTCTATCATGTGACAGTTGACATCAACAGACAACTTATCTTCAACATTTTCTCCAGTACAACATCCTGCCTTCTATCATTAGCTAATTATGACACTGGAGTAAGTCTATAGTACCTTCAATTCTTTGGAATTTAATAGATTGAGAATTAGGAACTGCCTCTTCAACACCAATCCCCTACATCACAGAACTATCTCTATAGCAACCATTACTTCCTCTATACTACACTTCCATGGCTATCAGTCATCTTAAGCATTCAAACCTACCTCTCACCACCAGCTTCCAGTAGTCGTACAAGACTACAATCAGCCTTAGGTTTTGAACAGAAAATAAAAGAAAAGGAGAAGAGAAGAAGAGAGATGGAGAGGGAGAACTCGTAGAGAGATTTTGAGAAAAGAGAGAGTGGTTGGTGCTGAAAAACAGCCGCCCCACTCTTTAAATTTATACTCATAATATCATAATTGTAAAAGGATTACAATAAGGGCAAAAGGGCTGAATTACCCTTATTGCTTACATGGCAAGATAATAACAACATAAGATAAGATAAGATAAGATAAAGCTGAAATAAACTAAACTAACATAACTAATTGCTAATAATTGCTGTCATACGAACATAGTGTGGACCACACCAGTGGGGTCCACATCAGTGTTCTCTACACTTCCAACCTTACTGGAAGAGAACAGTGCATCACCTGAGGAGCCTTTAATGAATCACCAATCTAATTATTGGCCAGCTATGTTGTATGGAGCAGAGTGTTGGGCCGTCAAGAAATACCTACCTTCTTCTCTGGCAGTGATTATTAACTGATGATCCATACCCACTCATCACCTTTCACCTGATTAGAAATACCATTTTCTTACCCCTTAATGAGCATCTCTTTGTCTGCCACATAATTCTTTTGTTATAAATAAAATGTGTTTAACAAGACTTGAACCCATAACCTCTTATTTTCATATATTACTTAATTACCATTAATCCACCTCATTACTTGTATCTACCGCACATTTTTTTTATCAGTTGTATCTACCACACATTCTTTATTATAAATGTTTTTTTCAAAAAAAATACTCCTCTAATATCTCTCCTTGTCTTAAAAAAATACATGTCTTGACCCTTTAATTCAAACTCCTATAGCATCAATCCTATTGAACAAGATTTGCTTGGACAATCCAACCCTATCCTCTAATGACTTTGAAACTGCAACCCCTCTCTGGTCTATCCCATTCCCAAAACCCAACCTCACTTTAAGAATCCTTAAATTTTAAAAGTTAAACTTTGGAGACCACCCAGATGAACCAAAACATCTTGATCTTGTGTATCTTTAAATCCCCCACATGCCCACATGCATGTCTCCATCATTGGAATTACCAAAATTGCCCCTTGTCCTTTCCCACTCATTGTCCCTAACCTAACAACACCCCGCTGTTTCCTGCAACTTCTCTTCTTCTACCAATTCCCTATTCTCCCTATGCCCATCACCCCCATGTCTCTGATCCGTCCTATAGAAACTTAAAACCATTAAAATTTCCATCCTTGATCATAATTCATATCTCACGAATTTCACCAGAAAAAACCAGAGTAGGAAACAATGGAAATGAGAAAAATCAATCACCTTAAATCCACCACGAAAAAAAAACTAATCACCTTTAAAGTTTGAAAACACCAGGCATGCAAAAGAATCCACAATCATTCCTTGACAAGAGTCTGAGATGTGCAGTTAACTAATGGACAACAGCCAATTCACAGCTCAGCATCTCTTTCTTGTTTCATCACCCAGCTTAAAACTTCATCGACCTCTTCTTTACTGCTCAAAATGAAGAAGAACAAACCTCTACCTAAGTATCTGACTTACATTATATTTATAGAATGTCACTCCCTTGTCACCCATTCTGCCACCACTCCTCACCTGAATTGACAAATCTCTCCACAAGACATGCCACAAGTAGTTCCAGGGCATCACCTAATCTTACCCTCATCTTTAAACACTAGCAACAAGAAACCATAGTTCTAGTTATTTCTCAGCAACCTAATCAATACCAGATCTCAAATATCTAATATTACAGTTTTCACACAAACACGGAAGGATTTTTTTAGTAGCACAATTATATGCAGAATAGTTAAAATTGAGCATTCCCTGCATCATCACTCATATAGCTTTTCCATATGGATAGAGAGGCAGCAAAATATCTCTTTAGTGAATGTAGTAGGGTATTGAGTAGCAGTAGCACTGGAAAACCAGATTTCTGAAGAGAATAACCATCTCCATTGTCTTGAAATACAAATAAGATCCAAAAAATAGATCAATTATCAATTATTTGTGGATTGTTTGTCTCCAATGAAGCTCATAAACATCACCAGAACGACAATATACTGGGCCTACAAGACCTTTCTCAGGAAGGGTGGATTTCCCACGCTTTGAGGCCACTTCTGCACGATGGTCTGCAGTCATCTTCAACAGAACCTCCTAGAACAAAGTGACCAAGTAGCATAAATACGCATAAGCATGGGAAAGAAAATAAAACATGATGTCTAAGGAATATGCATAGATATCACCTTCAGTGCATTGGGGTCACAACGCCCTGAGAGAATATCTTTATTATCCTCAACTAGTCCAGTTGAATCCCTTGCTTGTCTTATTCCACACACACAACAAAAAAAAAAGTGTCAATGAATACACTTGTTTTAGCATCGAGATTTAACTTCTAGATCTTGCCAAGATTTTTTTTATTTTTAGTGGGGGGAGGACACAAAGAAAGAGACTGACCTTTGACTATTTATGATTTGTTGGGTAGCAATTTCCTGATCGTCAAACACCAAGAAAGTTCAATTACAATGACTATAAGAAAAAAAAATTAATGGCATGCAAACAGAATTCCTGCTACAAAAAAAAAAGTAAACCAAAATCAGATACTTGTTCACGCAGCACAGCTTCCTGAGCAGCGGCATCAATAAACTTTGAGTACTTGGTTGTTGAATCACGAGCATCTTCAGCATGGTTAAGATGATCAGATTCTTGAAGAATTGACGAGGTAGTGAAGACATGTTTACTTGGATCATTTCCATTAACATGGCTTCCCAAAATTAATTTCCCCTGGAATGCTGTCTCATGGGTTTTCTGTTTCTTGTTCTGCTGAGAAATTTCACCACCCATCTCAGTTTGTTGTTGTGAGTGCTGATCAATCATGCCCACACTGTATTTTGTTGCACTTATTGATTCATCTTGACATAAGCTAGATGTCTCAGAGACTCCATTTGTTCCTGGTTGATTTGCACAATTGTTCTCCCTAAACTGTGCTTGTTGTTGCCCATTAACATCAACAGGCTGTGTATCCAAATGACTAATCTCATTTAATGATGGAACCTGCTGTCTGACAGGCTGATGGTTTGTCATGCTAGGCTGAAGAACATTATCTATTTGGAAGTTCTCAGGCCTTTGCCCTGGTAAATTAGGGGCAAATGGGGAAAAATTAAACTGACTTAATGGTTGGAATTGTGGAATGAAGCTCTGGTTAGCAGGAGAAAAACTTGCATTATATTGGGGGGAAGGGAACATATTGTTTCCAGAATAGTGAGAATGATCAGGTCTCACACCACTGACACAAGGTGGAGGACATTGTGAGATAGATGGATTCAATGAAGCTGAGCTCAATGAATTATTTGGAAACAACTGAACACCAGGAGGGAGTGACTGTCCATGGACATTATCCATCAAGAACCCTCAATAAGTATTCAATTTACAACAATTTCAGTCTTGCCAACATTATAAAAGGATAAATGGAGGGAAGTTGAAAATCAGACGCACCAAAGAATCCAAAACAAAATGGACTATACTTTTACCATCAGTATCTCCACCTGCATCATAAAGAGTACTGCTGTAAAAACTACATACTAATTTAAACAGGGTTAACATTCCCTATGTATGAAATTTTACTTGCAGAAAAAGTTGGAGAAAAGAGAAGGCAATACATTTTACATGGTTTAAATCCAATTGCACTGTATAGTCACTCATTTTACATGGTTTCAATCCAACACACCTGTGCATTAATACATTTTTTGCTATATTAATTGAAATTATATTGTACTTTAAATAAAAAGGAATTTGAAGAAAACCCCTCATGTTATCAAACTAAGAATTCCACATATTTGATGCATCATATTTTTTCCCACAATAAGATAGGTTCTATTCATATATGGAATCCATTCAAGAAAATAGGGATAAGAAATATGCATCATCAATAACCTTGTTAAACAATACTTAAGGTAAAAAAAACTTATTGAAACAATACTTAAGCTACTGAAATTTCATTTGTAAACTCATCCTTATATGTAGCCCCATCATACTATTGTTGCGTGAATTACAGGGATGGCAATGGCAGTTGCTTTAAAGTTGATGGCATGGTGGAAGAGGCTGAATTAATGGCCATCGACATGGTGCTTCTGAAAGCCAAGGAGCACCACTGCGCACATTTACATATATGCTCTGACTCTCAACTAGTGATTCACACCTTACATTCCTCAGATTTTTTGCTACCCTGGGAATGTCTATATTTGTACCAGAAGGTTAAAAACCTGCTTGAGGATGTCCTTACACCAGGTTTTGTTATGTACAAGGATCTTTAAATACCCAACCTCACTCCGTAGCGCAGTCTGTTAAAGAGCTTGGTCTTGTAGATATTTGGCTGGACCATAGTCCAGTATCCAGTATGGTTACTTCCTGTTCCAAACTCTTTGTAATGTTATAGTATATCTTGTTTGCTTACAAAAAAAAAAAAAGGAAATGGCAGGTCTGGTACAGGTTGTTCCTACTTCAATCCCAACCTTATTCAAGTTAAGGTTTAAAAAAAAAACACTGGGAAGAAATTAAGGGTTCTAATACCAACCAGTTCAACCAAGAAGTTGCCAAAACAATGATAGATCCACATATTTTTTCTTATTTGTTTCTGTTTTCTTGATCCATGTTTGTAAGAGATTGGGGAGGATATCACCTATAGAATTAGAGAACAATGGGAAAAATGGAGGGGTCCATCTGAAATCTTAATGCTGTGTTTGGTTTGAAAGAAAAGACAGGGAAAGGAAGGGAAGACTCTTCCATAATTGACTTAATTACCATTCCTTTTCTTCCAAACCAAACACAGCCTAAGTGATAGGAGATTACCACTTTAGGTTAGAAGGAAAATTTTATAAACCAGCTGTAAGGCCAGCAGTGTTGTATGAAAAAAAGTATTGGATAGTCAAGAAACAACATGCAACATGTCTAAAAGAATAAGCGTGGAAAAAATGCAAATGGTGAGATGGATGAGTGGGAAAGGATAGGACTAGAAATGAACATATTCGAAGGAGTCTAGGAGTAGCTCCAATAGTGATAAAGGATTATTATGTATGTACATACATTCAACTTGTCCCTTGTTGAAAAAGAATGAGCATCACTGCTGCCTCCAGCTGAGAAGAATGAGGAAGAGGTGAGAAGGATTAACAACCTGTCTTTACTCTTTACCTTAACAAAAAAGTATATGACATGAGACACTTAAAGTTTATGGGAAAAGTACTGAAGTACCCCATGTTTCATATTATACATACAGGTTATATGACTTATGGACCAGCAGATTGAGCTATCAAACCCCAACCCTACCCTGAACACAAACAGAGTCAATATACTTACAGTCATATCCGCCCTGAGTCCTTGACCCCAATTAGTACAATACCAAACCCATTCTACTAGGATTGGATCAAGCCATGTTATTGAAACCTCCATCATTGTCACCTCTTTATAAATGTATAAACATTAAGGTCGTTAACTTAATTAAAATAACAAAAAGTACTAAAGAAAAACCAAAAGTGAAAATTAAGGTTTTAAAACAGAAAGGGCACCTAATTGCAATTTATTCCAACTGCATGGGAAGGAAAACATATATGGTGGTGAAATCATATGACTGCATAAGGTAATTGAAAGCATTCACAGGACATCAAATAATGGATGGGATGCAAAAGTAGCTTCTTCCCGACGACACTCTCTCCCTGGAATTCAATACAGAAGGTATACCCAACTTTCATTAGTTCCAATAGATATGATGTGGGTTGTGGGACCGAAGTAATGTTTTGGGAAGACCTATGGCTGACTGAAATCCCCCTTCAATTTTCTTTTCCAATTTTCCAAGTCTTTTCTCATTATCTAATTACAAACAACAGCCTATATCAAGGTTTGCTACTTTCTCTTCTTCAGGGATAAGCTGGGAATTTGGCTATAGAAAGGGTCTAAGGGATAATGAATGTGAAGCACTCATTCAACTACTGAACAAACTTCAGCTAACCTTTCTGAATCAATCAGTAGAGGGCACTAGAGTTTGGTCTGGTACATCCAATGAGGATCTTACTTGTGCTTCTTTTATTAATTCCCTCTTGCAACCAAATAATATGGGTGAGAATTTCCCTGTGAAAGATATGGAGTAAGCCTATCCCACCTAAAATCCAGGCTTTGTGTTGGGAAGTCTGCCTTGGAAAGGTAAGCACTAGTAATATGCTTCAAAAATGAAGCCCAAACAAATGCTTATCACCTCACATTTGCTTCCCTTTGCCTTGCAAGTGGTGAATCCTTATCTCATTTATTGCTTTCTTGCCCTTTTGTGCTTTGCGTTTGGGACCTCTGTTGTTCTCTTTTTTGTTGCAGGCGGTCTCCTCTGCAAGATGTAGCAAGCCTTTTCAGCATAAGTTTCCTAAGGCAACCAAAGAAGAGAGGAAGAATTATGTGGAAACAACTAGAGCTGCAGCAGTATGGACTTTTTGGGAGGAAATGAATGGGAGGATTTTCAATTAGAGTAGATCGAAAGAGGAACTGTTTGAGTCCATCAAAATCAGAACTACAAATTGGATAGAGATACTTGATCTATTCAAAGAATTCTCAATGAATGATATGTCCTAAGGGCATAGACTGAAGTGGCACCCTCATCCAAAGAAAAGGAAAAGGCATTTATGGAGTGGTTATCCCCAACAGCTAATAAGATAAAACTAAATTTTGACAGAAGCTTCACGGGAAGCACGGGGATGGCTGGTATTGGAAGAGTACTTAGGGATTGACCAAAAAAGTGATGGGTATCTTCTTAGGACCTTTGGGGCTAGGAGATTCACTAAAGACTGAGCTAATGGCATTACTACAAGGGTTAAAAATAGCTAAACAATCAAGATTTCAGCCTTTGGAAGTAGAGGAAGATTTGAAACTGATAATTTCTTTGGCCAAAAGCAAGCAGCTTGTGCCATGGGTATATAGACATGAATTTAGGGAAATAGAGAGCACCACACAGGAGCTGAACATAACCTTCAAGTGGGTCAGAAGGACAGCAAATGGGATGGCTGACACTCTTGCAAAGCAAGGGGTATATAGGCAACAGATGTTTTGGGCACCATTGTAAATCTTATTCCTGAAATGGGATTGGAATGAATCCTTATGGGTGGACACACCATGTCCTTGAGGAGGCAAGGACAACGACTTGAAAAAGGAAGCACAGCTGAAAACCCCAAAAGGATGTAGAGTCCAAATTCTATCATCTTGTTTACTTGGGTCAAGGAAAACCCCCTCAAGAATGTGTAGTAGGTTTGAAACAAGGCCCATTTCAGTGTCCCTCACATTTCTGTGAAAGCCTATATTCCACCCACACCCATTAACCGAGGGAGAAGGGAGCAAGAACTCAGATATTGGTTTTCCCTTAAGAGAAGATAGGGTGAACAACGAAGGGAAAGAATACTTTAAAGGGACTTCACCCACCCAAAGATCCTCCCAGAATTTGATTATGTTACCTGAATTAATATCAAGTCTGATGTGATGGAGAAAAATTGGGAGACATTTCTAAATATCTTTCCAAGGTGAAGAGCAAGAGGCCCTGCTAAAAGTTCCAGCATCCCACCCATTCTTTGAGAGCCCATGAATACTAGCAATCACTTTATGCAATAACCTTTCTGATTCTCTCGGGAATCTCCATAACCACTTTCCCAGAAGAGACTGGTTCTTTTCTTTCAGCCTCCATAACCCCAGCCCTCCATATTCCTTCCTCCTACAAACTATTTCCCATCTAATTAAATGATCCTTCTTTGTCTCCCCCGGTTTCCACAAGAAATCCTGCATAATTTTCTCCAGCTTCTTCACAATCGCCTGAGGCAAGCTAAACACCAATAGGTAATAGACCAGAATGTTAGCTAAAGTAGATTTGATTAAGGTTATCCTACCACCCAAAGAAATATAATTCCTCTTCCAAGCCGCTAACTTCTTCTCAAATCTCTCCACTATTGGGCTCTAGAAAGTCAAAGATCTAGGGTTTGCACCTAAAGGAAGTCCTAAGTATTCCATAGGCCAATCACTGGACACACATCTGAGTTCCCTTGCCCACAACTCAATCTCCTCCTATTCCAAATTTACCCCAGCCACACTTCTATTTAGATTAACCTTCAGATTTGTCAACTTCTCAAACAAGCTCAATAACATCCTCAGATTCCTAGCCTCCTCCTCACAAAAAATAATGATGTCATCTACAAATTGAAGATGGGTTACCATCACCCTGTCTCTCCCCACTCTCCACCCTCTTAAAAGACCCATTTCATCCGCTTTTCTGATCAATTGAAGATGGGTTACCATCACCCTGTCTCTCTTTAATAAAAGCTCCTTGATACTGTGATATAATTGATGGGAGTACCTTTTTTAGGTGATTGGAGAGAACCTTGGCTATGATTTTGTATTGACTTGTCACTAGGCTTATGGGTCTGAAATCCTTGGGGTGACATGCTTCTAATTTCATAGGAATCAATGCAATAAAAGTAGCATTAGCCCCTTTGCTGATAATCCCTCTGTGGTAGAATTCCTCAAAGACTTTCATTAAATCCTCCTTTAGCCACTCCCAACAATCTTAAAAAGCCATGGTGAACCCATCCAGTCCTGGTGCCTTGGACCTATCCATTGAGAAAATAGCTGCCTTCACGTCCTCCATCTCAAAACCTTTTTCTAATTCTCTACTCAATGTGCTATCTAAAGCAGGCCATGTCAAACCCTCTAAGATCCATCTATTCTCCATTGGCCTTCTATAGATTAGTTTAAAGTGATCCACTAATGCCTTTGCAATGTCATCTTGTTGTGTGATGGTAGCTCCACTTTCCAATTCCAACATAGAGATAAAATTTTTCCTTCTCCTGCCATTTGCAATTGCATGAAAATATCTAGTGTTCCCATCACCTTCCTTTATCCACCTTTCTCTTGACTTTTGTTTCCATGATATCTCCTCTCTCAATAGTGTGGCTTCCAGCTCTTTTTTTAAATTTGTCCTCTCCTTCTCTTCCATGCCCATTTGTCCTTCCTCCTCCCTTCTATCAATCTCTTCAATTCGACTAATCAAGGTGGATTTTCTTTCTTCAATCCTCCCAAACTGATTGGAGTTCCACTCCTTTAATTTTCCTTTCAAGTTCTTTAGCTTTCTATGGAATCTAATTCCTTCCCATCTAGCCACCGAGGTGTCCTCCTCCCACCAGTTTCTCACCTTTTGCACAAAACTCGGAACTGTAAGCCACATATCTTCAAACCAAAATGGCTTTGGCCCACCCCCATTACCCTCTTGATTAAGACAAATTGGCCAGTGATCCGACGTGAGTCTAGGTAATATCCTACTTATCAAATTCCCCCAATGGTCCTCCCAATCTTGTGTCACTAGAAATCTATCTAACTTAGATAGAATAGGGCTTTCTTGACAATTGGTCCAAGTAAATCTGTTCTGCCCTGTCATGATCTCCTTCAGTTCCAAGGCTTCTATAAAGCTGTTAAACCTCCTCATACTGGTAGCCATCTATTGGAGTAGTCACATTCCTCTTACCCTTCCAAGAAGATTTGGAGTAGTCACATTCTGTTAAGAGTCTGCCTTTTTGTTTGGGAAGCGTGCCTTTAGAGAATAAACACTTGTGATTTTCTTCAGAAAAAAAGCCCAGGAAGGTTATATATTCTCCTCACGCATGTGTACTTTGCATAAGAGAAGGGGAATCAGCAGATCACCTACTCATTCATTGCAACTTTTCTCAAAAGATATGGTGGCACTTCTTAAACCTGATTGGATTCAGTTGGGTCTCTCCAAGGCATATTCAGGAGTTTCTCAATCAGTGGCATGGTTCGGGTTTGAGCAGAAGAGGTAAGGTGTATTGGCAAATTGTGTTACATGCAGTAATGTGGGGAATTTGGGAGGAAAGAAACAGGCACATATTTGACAACAAAACCAGATCTCTTGAAGAATTAATTTCAGATATTTCATTTTATTGCAATTTTTGGACTGCTAATTCTGAGATGTTTCAAGGACTTTCCCTCAATGATCTCAACAGAAGTATCCAAACAATATTGTCTCTCCCAACCCACCCTCAACCAACTCAAAGACTACAGCTATAGCATATTGAAGAAGGGATGATTCTAAACTTTGATGGAATTGCTGCAGGCAATCTGGGTAAAGCTGGGATAGGTGGTATATTGAGGGATGAGCAGGGCAATATCTGTTGGGTTTTCAGTGGCCCAATAGGTAATACAGACTCAACAAAGGCTGAAGTGATGGCAGCGCTCACTGGAATCAGAATAATAAAAAGATTAGACATTCAGAAACTATTCGTTGCTGGAGATTCTGCTAACACTATCAAATGGCTGAAAGAAAAGGAAGGGGGTCCCTGGAGGTTGAGTCATTACCTGGCGGAGGCAAGAGATTCCTTGGAAAATTTAAATGCAAATTTGCTGTGGATACCGAGGGAGTTGAATCATATTGCAGATGGATTAGCTAAAATTGGAGCAAGTTTAGAAAATTTATATAGAAACAGGCTTCCCCCCTTGTAATTTTGCTTTTCTGCTGTTTAAGTTCTCTTTCCTCTGTGTATTACATCTGCTCATGTACTCCCTGTTTTTATCTAATGATATCTGTTTAACTTTTTCTCAAAAAAATCTTAAGTACTTCGAGTGCCAATCTCCTGTAATAGATTAGGGAACTTCTCTTCCCACTCTGTGGAGCAAAGGAATCTGTCCAGTCTGCTGCACACTACGTTCTCTTGTAGGTCTGACCAAGTAAAATTGGCATTATGCAAGGGAGGGTCAATGAGGGAGAAGGTCTGGATAAAATTAGAAACCCAATTGAACCTAGTTCCTCTCAAATAAAAGCCCTGTCTGTAGGATTGTTTGGGCCATAAACACCAGTGAAAATCCAACTGAAATCATCCAAGTAAAATTGGCATTATGCATCCTCCCATTCGACTTCTCTGAGGGGAATCTGGTGACATAAAGTCCCCAGCCATACACCAGGGGAAAAGGTTTTGCAACCCAATTGAACCTAGTTCCTCCCAAAGAAAAGCCATGTCCATAGGATTGTTTGGGCCATAAACACCAGTGAAAATCCAACTGAAATCATCCAAACGATTTGTGAACAAAACTGAAATCAAGTAGGCCCCTCTATCAACTTCCAGTCCTGAAACCAAGCTTTCATCCCAAATTATAATCAGACCTCCTGAGAATCCATTCGAGGCAATTCATACCCATTTTTTGTTTCTAACCTCCCATATTGAATTTATAAACCTAATAAAATTTTCTTTTTTGTCTCCTGTAACACTACTATGTCGGGGTTTTCTATTATCAGAAAATCTTTGACCAAGCTTCGCTTCTGAGACCCACCTAGACCTCTCACGCTCCAGGACAGGATCTTCATTGAGCACGCACCTAGAATTGATTTCCCTTGTGATCTCTTCCTCCCTGTGCTATCTTTACTCTCTCCCTTCCAGTTCAAGTCACATTTTAATTTTCTCAATTATCTTATTGATCTCGGGTATAAGCTGCTTCCTTCCTCTGTCAAGATTTCACTGATTTTCCAATTCCTCCCCTTTTTATCCCTCACTGAGACTCCTAGTTTTTCTGCCATTCTATCAGTGTCGCTTCCCAGGTGATCTTCTTTCAAAGGTTAAAAAAAATCTGATCTTTCCATTTCTGGGCCTTCTTTGGGATGAGTAGGGGCAGCACTTTCATTGAAACCTGAAACTGAGAAGGGGGTGGTAGGGCAAGGTGCCTAAAACAAATTCAAGAGAAGGAGATGTTGTTGCTTGTGGTGATTGAGAGAGAGAAAGAGAGGTACGGATGATAGAAAGAAAAGCAAACTCAGTACTGACAGCCGCCAGTCTTCTATTTATATTAATCTTTATAAAAAATACAAAATTACAAGTATGCCCCTGGCGGCATATCCTAGGATAAGAGCAATAAGAAAAAAAGAAAGAAAGGACTAGTAGCTGAAACTGTCCCACTAACATCAGTTACAAGGAACACTTAAGCCTTACAACACTCCCCCTCAAGTTGGACTGAAGATGTCTATCATGCCCAGCTTGTCACATAGCTCATTGTGCCACGAACACGGAAGTCCTTTTGTGAGGACAT